TCTCCCTCACTCGGAGGGGCCGAAGCACCCTCCTGGGTTCCCGCCCGGGCCCCTTCCCCCAGGGGTTCAAACATCCAGTCTTCGACTTCCCGTCGGTACATCCCGGATCTGCCTCGGCGGGAGTAAACTTCTCTGGTGCCTTTGGCATTATACAAAGTCCAATCATCCTGCGCCGGTACCGTCCGCGGGCCCCAGCGCGAAGGGGTTGGAGGCGGCCAAGACAGGTACGCAGGTAACCGGGGAATCGCTCCCCCCACCGCACTCGACGTAGGTATGGTGGTCGTGGTGATCAACGATGTGGAGGTTGTAGGGACCGATCCCGTGTCCCCCTCCGTTGTAGGTAGGTTTCCCTCTGCCCCGCTCATGATCAAGTCAGATTCGGGACGATAGGAAGATTGAGAGTTCTAACAATATGTTGGATCCCCAAGCATCGAGAATAAATCCACGTTTTAAAGAAAAGCAAAATTTATTTCAAAGCGTTGGAAAGACACTCAAACACGTTCTTTGTTAGAACTGACTACAAACGGTTAGGGCAAGCATAATAAAGGGATTTGAACCAGGTACAGAACCAATGGGTCACTTTCCCGCTGGCGGGTGAAAGGAAACGGTTGCGCGCTCATTCCCTGAGAACCAGGCTATCTCCAGACATAATACAGGTGCAGTTCCCAGGCTCTAAAAGCAACAAGCTGGCAGTCAAGCGTACTCCCCCAATACATCCTCCAGTTGTTTGGCTTAGGCATTACAGCAGAGTAAAATAGTGGCGCCCAGGCAGGGGGGGGGGTTAGTAACTGTACAGAGATACAACCAACACAGAACACCATGGCAGCTTGCTGACAGGTGGCACACGAACACACAGTGAAATACACGGGGTGCCGATGTATTAGTGAGTGCTAAGCAAATTTGTGCATGGAATTGATGTGTTCATTTTGCGCTGCGTAGGCTTCCTGTTTTCCCAGGGGCAGTCAGGCTCCAGGCTCCACTAGGCCTCTTCACTCCGGCGGGTAAGGTGCAAGGGCAGAGAGTGACTGACACCAGACGATGACCTGTGACATCACTTCTGGTTTGTATCTGGAAGTGACATCACGCCACTCTAGGAATTCATCCATCAGAGACTGACGGATTCCTGGCATGTTGTAATGTCACTTCCTGATACCAAGTGGGAGTGACATTACAACATTGCTTCCCATCCCCAAATGGCTCCCACTGGTAGCCAGCACCACATGAAGAGCTTTGTTGAAAATTGCCACGTCTGGAAGTGGAGGAACATCTTGTGCAACGGAAGAGCCTTACCTCAACCCGCAGCAGCTTCGTCACCTTGTCCCCAGCCCCCCAGCCGCCATGGGCAACAACCGTGATGGGGATGTTGTGTGCTCCCATGGGCACCAGAACAAACGGGATGGGGACTGCCGAGTTCCCTGGCACCTCCACCTGCTGCTTCCTTGCTGGGCCCACCGTGGCCGGAGAGCAGATGCCCTCAGCAGGCTCCAGATATACGAAGGCCTAAAAGGGGAAAGGGAGAACGTCTGGGTTATTCGTTACTTTTATACATTTAATTTAGCGTTGTTAATTAATTGGGCAGGAGCCAGTTTTACCCTCTGAAGGCAAATCTGGGGTAATTTCAGTTTGCAGGCAAGTATGGGGAATTTAGGGTTGCCAGCTCCATTGGAAATGCTGGCGGGGAGATGGGGGGAGGATGTTCTGGGAGCAGGAAGTGACATCACAGGATGTGCCTACATCACCCAGAAGTAATGTAGGCATGTCAATGATGTCGGGCACAACACACTGGTTTTTGGGCAAAACTCTATGGTAAAACCAGCCTCAGATCATAGTTGTTGTTGTTCAGTCGCACAGTCGAGTTCGACTCTTCACGACCCCATGGACAAGATCACGCCAGGCCTTCCTGTCTTCCGCCGTCTTCTGAAGTTGGCTTAATTTCATGTTTGTTGCATCTATGACACTGTCTAGCCATCTCATCCTTTGCCGTCCCCGTCTTCTTTGACCTTCAATCTTTCCCAGCCTCAGGGTTTTCTCCAGTGAGTGCTCCCTTCTCATTTGGTGGCCAAAGTATTTGAGCTTCAGTTTCATTATCTGGCCTTCCAGGGAACAGTCAGAGTTGATTTCTTTTAGGATTGACTGATTTGATCTTCTTGCAGTCCAAGGGACTCTCAAGAGTCTTCTCCAGCACCATAGTTCAAAAGAATCAGATCATAGAGTTTTCTCCAAAAACCAGAGTGTTGCCCCCGACATCACCAATGTGCCTACATTGTTTCCAGGTAACGAAGGCACGTCATGTTTTACTTCCGGTGATGTCACCATTTGAGGGGGGGGGATTTCCTCTCAACAGCCAGCTGGCCAGCGGTGGCCAGGAGCTCACAAGCCCCCAACTGGAGAATGGTGACTCTAGGGCAACTGCATGTTTGAATAATTCCTTCACCAACCCCTCCCCCCAACTCCCTGTCCATGGAGAAGTAACGTAACCGGGAAATGCTGTTCTACCCTAGCCTTCTCCTTAATAGAGGGAGAGCCAACTCTGCATAATGGTTAGAGTATTGGACTGGGATCTGAGAGACCCCAGTTCAAATCCCAACTCTGCCACGAAAGCTTCCTGGGTGGGTGGACCTTGAGCCAGTCACGCATTCTCGGCCTAACCCACCTCAGAGGGCTATTCGGAGAAGGAAATGGAGAAGAGGAGAATGCTGCAGCCCACTCTGGGTTCCCCGTGAGAAGAAAAGTCAGGGATAAATGAAGGGAATAAATCATGGGCTCGTTTTCTACATACCGGGAGGGCCATTCCCCCCCTCCACTAAAACAGCACAGCCCTAGGACTCTGAACAGCGTCCATAGATCAGGTCTGTGAACTTAGGCAGATCATGAGAAGGGAGGGCAGGAAGGGTTGCATCTGTGCTCGGATCTTGTGGCCCTTTCTGACATGTCCAGGGAAATGCTGATCGCCACTTTGGGGTCAGGAAGCTCTTTTTCTCCAGGCGCGTTTGACTGGAGATCCTGGAGGTTTTTTGGCATCTTCTGGGCATGGAGCAGGGGTCACTCACTGGGGGTGTGTGTGGGGGGGGAGGTATTTGTGGATTTCCTGCATTGTGCAGGGGTTGGACTAGATGACCCTGGAGGTACCTTCTAACTCTATGATTCTAGGTCTAAACGGACTGCCGTTCGCTGGAGACTCTTGTTGGTCTGGTTCCTCTGGAAGGTTTTTGTGGAGAGAAAGGATTTCCTGCCTCCCTCCCTCCAAAATGCCTCCCCCAATGGCTCCTCCTAGTGGACTTCAAGGAGACAGCATGATCACAGAATCAGGTCTGCAATGGGAATGGGGGGCCAGGGAACTGGCAAAAATCCCAGGCAAATTCTCCAGTGGATCCAAGCAGATACTTTTGTTTTTTTGTTTTTCAGAAGGCTGAAGGCAATTTGAAAGAGAGATCCCTACTTGTATTGTGTTCAATCCCAACTTCTGCCTGGGCTAAACAGGTTTTTGAGAGATTCTGTATGGCTTCAAAGTCCAGTGCGCCCTGTCTGACCACAGTTGAAAACGGGATGAAAGAATTCTCTATGTGTGTGTAACATAGGAAGTAAAGCCTCTCTCTCTCAAGCTCGGTTAGAAATTATCGGTCTTCAAGAACATACGTAGCACAAGTGTTAGGAGAATAAGATCCATCTTTGAGTTTGTGCGCTAGAAGATGATAAAGAGGGGAGTAATTCTGGACCGTTCGATACGGCCTGGGGGAACCGCAAACCAAGCAAAGGACGGAGGGGGAAGTGCTACATGGCTTTCCCCTTACCTTGATCGGGTCAGGCAGGTAATTGTACAGGACCGGGCGCAGCTCTATCTGTTCAAAGCGTTTCACCGAGTACGGCATCCTCAGAGAGATGTGGAACTCTTGGAAGACTTTGACCCGGAGAGGTTCTGAGACGCAGATCCCTGAGAAGGCAAATCCAAATGAGCATCGGCAAAAGGAAGATTGGAGAGGGAGAAGGATGGACAGATAGATGAATGGAATACTGTCTTTCCTGTCTGTATGGAAGGTGGCATGGCAGGTACTATTCAGGGGTCAGAGGTCACAAAGAGCCAATGGGGCTTCAACTGGCCCTATAAAGCTTCAGGCTGGTGATGAATTAGCACATCCCTGTGGTGTGAGAGAGGGCTGGCCGGCCAGGGAGGGGGAAGAAGACCAGATGTTCAGCCCTTCCCTCCAGTGCATCTGAGGCACTGAAAGGTCTTTTGTCAGAGAGAGGACTGTCACATGAAAACATTAATGCTATTTATTGTCATGTTTGTTTAGGGTAAGCATAAACCATCTTGGGTCCTGCTGTGTGGGAGAAACACAGGATGGAAATATTTTAATAAATAAATAAATAGAATGGACTGGGCCAGACCACTTCAAGCTGCCTTCCGGCTCAGGACGTTCAGTCACATTAAAAAAGAATATCCATGCGGCTAGAAACCTAGCATGGCACATACAAATATTGATTCCTCCCTTCACTTGTGAGCCTGTTTTCTTTTTGCAGGAACATTCCAAAAATGTGATCCTCCATGTATCTCCCCCTGAAGTCAGAATTGGTGCAATTCACTCTGTGGCTTTCCACCACCTTGCTCTCTCTTTCTCGCACTGTTGTGTCCTGACCCGGCCATGTGCGCGATCCAGTTTCGGCCGGTCCCGCATGCGGTCAGGCGAAGTACCTGAGCTTCGCTCCAGAACACAATAGCCGTTTGGATCCTAGTTCCCTGCCAATCAGGAACCTAGGGTCCCTAGGGATAATCTAATCACTGTAGATAGACCATTCACGGGTGTTGGGTGTGTGTGGGTGTGTTTTCCTTGGGGGCATATAAGCCGGCCTGCGAGCCGGCTGCTTTGTCTTGTTCTTGCTGAATAAAAGTACATTAGCTGAATCACTCATCCATCTGCGTACTTTTCACGCACATTTGAAGAAGGCCTCCAGATGCTGTCAAAGACTGTCCACACACTCACCACTCATCTCAGCTTAGGGTTGCCAAGTCCCCCCGGGGGGTGGGGATTCCCCCGCCAAAAGGGCCCCCAATCCGCCAGTCTGGATCCAGCTGGAGGGGGAACCCCACCCCCAAAGTGGCCAGATCAGGCCGACGTGCCTGGCGCCATGACGTCACCCGGAAGTGACGTAATCATGCTGGGCATGTCGCCGGGCGATGCTCTAGCAATCGCCCTGAAAACTCTATGGTACAGAATATCCAGGAACGGAACAAAGTCTCCCCCGCCGCAAAGAGAAGGTGACTTGGCAACCCTGTCTCAGCTACTAGCCTGGTCTCCAAACCAGCACTCCTAACCTGAGAATTTGTAGAAGACGGATAGAAGGACACAAGGTTAGTATCTGAAGAAATGTGCGTGCACATGAAAGCTTAGACCAGGAATAAGACTTCGTTGGTCTCAAAGGTATCACTGGTCTCAAACCTTGTTCTAAAGGAGAGTAAAGGAAGAGATGGATGTTCCAACAGATGAACATGAATCTCTGTGTAACGGGAAGGAAAGGATAATCAAAAGAAGGTGTTTTTGTGAGTTTGCTTCAATGCCTGGCAGAAATAGGTAGCGTTCTGTTTACCTTTGCCATGTGACATGCTTACTGCCTGGATCTCCCAGGTGGTGATGGAGTCCGGGAGCAGCAACATTTCCCTGTGGGAGACAAACAAGGCCTCATTTACCAGAGGAGATGGGGAACCCCAGCGGCAGGGTAGCATGCTGGAAAGAAATGGGGAACCTTTGGGTTCTGATTTTTGTTTTAGGCTTCTGTGTAGGCCTTGCCCGGCTGCTTGCCTGGATGCCTGGCTGGTGTGGGGAAACATTTCCCCCTCAGGAACTGGGCCCGGGGACTCGGGACATCAGCTTTGCCACTCTGCCTCCTGATCTAATGTCACCCGAAGCCCAGAATCTGATAACTGGAGCATTTCTACCCCCAACCAGAGCACGGAAGGGAGGAAGGAACGCTTAGGAAAGTCCTCTGGCCCACTCACGTCTGTGTTGTGTCCACAGTGTACGTTTTCCACAGCCAGCTCTCAGGGAAGACGCTCCGGACTTGAATGAATTCGTCATCAAAAAAATCCTCGTCCTCCTCTAGGCCTTCAGCTGTGTGGAGAGAGGAGATCCCAAGGTGAGAACGGCAACATGCCCCTCAGGTGTTCCAAGCACCTAATCTTTGCATATAAAGACCCACCATCCATCACAGCGCAAAGATTATGCAGAACAGTACCATATTTCTGCGCATTCTGTTTATCCTGCTCTTCCTTCCAAAGATTTCAGGACATATCAGTTCTTCCCTTTCCCCTCCTTACGCTGAGATTTACATTTGAAAGCCTCATTCCATAGTTCACACCCCCCCACCCCCCACCGCCTGCTCATAAAAATTCTTCAGTATGGTACTCTGTTTGACGAAGTGGGCTGTGACTGAGGGAGACTCATACGGAACAGGGCTATTTTTGGGCAGGAACGCACAGGAACGGAGTTCCGGCTGGCTCCCAAGCTGGCCACGCCCAGCAGGAACTCATTAGCATAATAGGCCACACCCAACAGCAGAAGCTCATTCGGATTGGCTACAATTAGGGGTGTGTGGCCTAACATGCAAAAAGCCCTGGGTTTGGACAACAAAGAAGGTAAACAGAATAACAAGCAAAAGGTGGGTGTGGCTGGATAACCACACTTCTGGTAACATGGGGGTGCGGCCTAATGTGCTAATGAGCTGTGCTGTCAGGGGTGTGGCCTAATATGCTAATGAGTTTCTGCTGTTGGGTGTGGCCTATTATACTAATGAGTTCCTGCTGGGCTTTCTACAAAAAGAGCACTGCAGAAATAGATATTGTTGGTCTTTAAGGTGCCACGAGGTTTAGTTTCATTTTTCAGAATGTGACACATGGATTCTCCCCCCCCCATCCCTTTGATCCTCACAACAACCCTGTGAGGTAACTTCAGGTGCCCCTGGTTAGGGTTGACAGCTCTGGGCTAGGAAATACTAGGGGATTTGAAGGGGGGGGGGTTGGATCCTGGGGAAGGTGGGGTTCCAGGAGGGGAGGGACCTCAGCTGGGATGCAATGCCACAGAGTCCACCCTCCAAAGCAGCCATTTTCTCCAGGGGAACTGATCTCTGTCGTCTGGAGGTCAGCTGTAATTCCGGGAGATCTCCGGACACCACCTGGACGTTGGCAACCCTACCCCTGGCCATTCTGCCCGCAACATTTAACAGTAGTTTGAATACTGAATAAGCATTTCCTCATCCTGCCAAAAGAGCTGCAGCAGTACCTGATGAAGCAACAGCCACAGCAACCATCCCTTTTTTCCCCAATATAAATTTTTATTTTAGTTTTATAATATACAACTTTACTACAACAACATAACTCTAAAGTAATTGGGAGTTAAAAACAATCAACAACAAAAAGGAGAGAAAACAACAACAAAACAATCATAAAGGCTATTTTCTAAACCAATTACAACCAAAAATGGACCTTCTGGTATTACATCATATGAACTATATCATAATATTTCTTTGGAACCTGAACAGATTTGAAGACAGTCATAGCCAATACTTGGAAAAGTACAAATAATTTGACTCTTTCACAATGGTATAATAAACTCTGGGAGTTATATTCTATGGACAAGTTATCAGATAAGGTTTCTATTTTCTCAACTCAGTATGGGCACTCTAACTTCCAGTTAAAATGGTTTCCCTTTCTAGAATATACTTTCAATAATGAATCATGCAATCATCCCTTTTTGGTGAACTGTAGGCCAAGTTAGCCTTTTAACAAATATAATGTCTTCCTTCTAAATGGGGACCTAAAGCAGCTTCCATTGTTGTCCTCCATGCCATTTTATCCTCACAACACCCCTGTGAGGTAAGCCCGAGTGAGAGTTTGCAGCCCAGCAACCTTCCGCAGCAGACTGAGGATTTGAATATTAGAGACATGTGACAGGTTGCTTAAAATCTCATATTACTTGTTATCTATTAAGGAGATAACCTAGTCCCAGGATGTTGTGATCCTTTCATTTTTGGCACTGTCACTCCTATCATCTTCCTGAGGTCGGTGACCAATTTTCAAACACCTAGCATGATTTTCTGATGTCAGAAATAGACGGACAGAGGGGCACACGGATCCTTTTATTGCTTTAGATGCAGCAAGCCAAGTGATCTGTTTTGTTATCATGCTTGGTTCAGATCAGGGTCAAATTGGGGGGGGGGGATATATCTTCATCCAGGGGCCCAAGATGGCACTTGGAAGCCCGGTCTGAACAAAGCCAAAGTTCGAACAATCTAGTCTGAACAAGCCAGTCTGCCTTTCCAAGTGTCAAGCTTGTGCCTCGCTTGTCATGTGTTGTTTCCCGCTGACACTGTTCCACTGTTCCGTCAAGGGTTAACTCCTTTCTTCCCCTCCGATTCTTCCCACCGCTTTAGTTTATGTGCATTCTTTTGGAGTGAGTGCGGGTGTGAATCTCTGCTTCGCTGGCCTAGCTCTTGTAGCCGGGTCTGCATGACCTTGCAGCATAGATAATGTAAACGTTAGTTTGCAGGTGCTGGGGGGTGGCTATGAGACTGAGCTTGAAGCTTTGGCGGGCTGTATGGGAATTGACAATCGGCACTTGAGGAGCCAGTGTTCCCTCTAAGCTGAGTTAGTGTGAGCTACCTCACAGTTTTGTAGCCCCTGGCTCACACGTTTTTGTCTTAGCTCAGGAAGGATGGCTCCAGAGCAAACTGATTTATGCAGTAGCCAAATCTCTTGCTCACAACTTTAATGCCAGCAGCTCACAAAGTAGAATTTTTGCTCACAAGACTCCACAGCTTAGAGGGAGCATTGTTGAGGACCCAGGGGTGGTCCCACACTCTGTATAGGTTTCGCCTGAGCCTGAGGCCGGCAGTTCCAACACAAACTCTGCATATGCTTGGATGACCTGTAACTCTCAATAAATAAATCTTGCTACCACGGGATTTTTGCGAGAGTACTTGGACCCAAGATCTGGCACCGAGGTAGATGAAAGAACAAAACCACTTGTGGAATACTTCGTAGGCTGAAAAATATTTCGTATTACATGCATACGTTATTGGACTCTTCCACCACAGACAAAAAGCTGAATTTTGGATAAAAGTAGTTAAAGTCAGTGAAGAATTTGCGATCAAGGCAGTGATTGAAATTTTGAGCTGCGGTGGCTCAAGTGGTTAAGACGCTGAACTGCAGGCTGGGGAAGGTCAGTAGTTCAGCAGTTTGAGACCTGAGTGTACCGCATGATGGAGTGAGCTCCCGTCTCTAGTTCCAGCTCCTGCCAACCTAGCAGTTCGAAAGCAAGAAATTGCAAGTAGATAAATAGGGACCACTTTGGTGGGAAGGTAACCGCGTTCCGTGCACCTTGGTGTTTAGTTATGCCGGCCACATGACCACGGAAACGTCTTCGGACAGTGCTGGCTCTTCGGCTTGGAAACGGAGATGAGCACCGCAACCCTAGAGTCGGATTCGACTGGCTTTCGAGCAAGGGAACCTTTACCTTTACCTTTTACAGTGATTGAAAAGCTGGGTGCCAGAATGAGAACCAGCGTGATTAAGAGCAGGAAACTCTAATCTGGAGAACTGGGGGGGGGGGTTGCTTCCCCTTTCCTTCTCCACGTGTCGCATGGTGCAGGGTGACCTTGGGCCAGTCCCAGTTCTCTCACAACTCTCTCAGCCTCATTTTCCTCACAAGGTGCCTGTTGTGGGGAGAGGAAGGGAAGTCGATTGTAAGCCACTTTGAGACTCCGAATTGCCTCGACTTTACTGAGAGAATCCAGAGTGGCAGGCAAATGTGGAAAGGACCTCCTTAAAGTAGAGAAAAGTGGGGTATAAAAAACTCCTTTTTCTGGTTCCGGGCTCTCTACTCACCCCTAGCAAGACCACGGGTACCCCCAGATTTGCGTCGTAGTTTGGCAGCATACCGGCAACAGTCCAGGAAGGCGGTATAGCACTCTCCCTTGATCCGCTCGGCCCGCTGCTCACACGTTAAGGACATGGGGATCAGCACCATGCCGTCCCGACAGCAACTCTGTAACTTGGAATCTGAATAGTTGGTGTGGGGGGGGGGGGGAGCGGTTAGGAAAGAAGACAGAAAAGTGAGTGGACACCTATCAAAAGAGAAGCAGCCAGGTATTTTGTACTCTGCTTTCCACGGGTTTAGGCCAATTCTTCTAGGCCAGGGGTCCCCAGCCCTTTCTAGCCTGTGAGCACCTTTCAAATTCCGACTAATGGCAGTGGGCACAACCACAAAATGGCTGCTGTAGGAGGCGGGGCCAACCACAAAGTGTCAGGGAGTGAGGTCATTCATAGCTCTAATCGCAACTCTTAAGCAGGTGCTCTGCTTAACAGGATGCCTTTTAAAACAAACACATTGTTTGAAAATGTTATCTTGCATACATGCTTCTTAGCAGAAGCCCTGCTGGGCAAAAGCCCCCCCCTCTTAAAAAACCCTTGGTGGATGTCAGGAAAGGTGTTCGTGGGCAACATGGTGCCCGTGGGCACCACGTTGGGGATGTCTGTTCTAGGTCCTTTCCTTTCGTTTGGAAAGAAAGAGAAGGGAAAAGACATACCATAATGTGGGGGAGGCGGAGCCTGGTATGATGTATGCATGCACTGATTCCCCCCCCCCCGAAACCCCCGTCTTCTTCCTCCCTTTCCCTCCCATCACTCACGCCTCTCCTGGAGTTGGACTTGGATCTCCAATGAACGCTTCTTCCGGGAAACATCTGCTTTGCACCCATGGGCTGTGGGAACAAGAAAGAACGAGGCGGGATACTGAGAACGGGATGTGACAAGAATCGCCTGTGGCTTACACTCCCAAACTGCACCCTTTCTTTTACGACCCTTGCATTTCACCTGTTCGGAGCGGGCTGTACCGTTCGCCTGCCCGGAGGGAGAGTCCAGCATCCCAAAAAACGCCGAGGGAGTCTTCCCCACTGCCAGCTGTGCAGCCGAGATCGTAACTTCCCATGGCCTGGAAGACCTGGTTCCAGGAAGAAGGAGAGAAAAGTGGACATGGAAAGGATGGGGCAGTGGATGTAAATTTATGCCATTGGGTGGTAGGACGTGAAACAGAAAGGTTTCTGAAAATACATAGACCTCACTTTAGTTTTAGGACTTTGAGCTAAACTTTCTCTTTGGATCACTGGGGGCAGTCCAAGCAATCTCCCCCAAACACCAAAAACCTTTCACAACAGGACAATCAGGCAGCCAGCATCGTCATCGTCATCATCATCATCGTTATTGTTATTTAGATTTCCGAATCGCCCTGGGCGATTTACAGCATTAAAACAGATAAAATACAATCAACATGATAAAATTATTACAATGCATTAATAAAACAACCAATCCGGATGGCGATCGATCCTTTTTTCTCCAGCTGCCAGGGTGGGGAAGGGAACGCAGGGCCAAAAGTTAAAAAGGAGTAGAGGTGTGGCAATGTACCCCGCTGAGGCCCCTCCCCTCCCCAGGCTCCACCCCCGAATCTCCAGGAGTTTCCAAACTTGGAGCTGGCAAGCCTACTCCACCCCCCATCTCTTGCCAGTGGCCGGGGGGACCTGGAAACCGAGAATGACACTGAATACCTCCAGGGGTCATTTCGTAGAAAAAGAGGTGTAGGAGCTCATTAGCATAACTTATTAGCATAACTTATTTGCATATGCCACTAGGGTTGTCAAGTGTATCTTCGCCGGGAGCAGGGGGCTCCCGGCCGGCGTCCGGTGCATGGTGCACGCACGTCACCCAGAAGTGACGGGAGGATGCCAGGCACACTGGGGGCAGGGCCACGGCCATACAAGGGAAAACTCTATGGTTTTCCCTTGTATGGCCGTGGCCCTGCCCCCAGTGTGCCTGGCATCCTCCCGTCACTTCTGGGTGACGTGCGTGCACCATGCACCGGACGCCGGCCGGGAGCCCCCTGCTCCCGGCGAAGATACACTTGACAACCCTAGTGGCATATGCAAATAAGTTATGCTAATAAGTTATGCTAATGAGCTCCTACACCTCTTTTTCTACGAAATGACCCCTGGAGGTATTCAGTGTCATTCTCGGTTTCCAGGTCCCCCCGGCCACTGGCAAGAGATGGGGGGTGGAGTAGGCTTGCCAGCTCCAAGTTTGGAAACTCCTGGAGATTCGGGGGTGGAGCCTGGGGAGGGGAGGGGCCTCAGCGGGGTACATTGCCACAGAGTCCCCCCTCCAAAGCACCCATTTGCTCCAGGGGAACTGATCCTGCATTGAGCAGAGGGTTGGACTGGATGGCCTGTATGGCCTCTTCCAACTGTGTGATTCTATGATTCTATGGTCTCTGTCGTCTCTGTAGTCTGGGGAGGAGCTGTAATTCCAGGGAATCCCCAGTTCTCACCTGGAGGCTGGCATCCCCAGGGCCGGTGCCTGGTTTTTTTACACACTAGGCGAGGCTACCTTCTGGTGTCGCCGCCCCCAGTGCACCCCCGAGCCATACAGACTTTAAGGGTCAAAACTAGCACTTTGTACGTGTACGTTGCTTTTTGCCACATGGCAGGTAGGGAAAAAGTAGGAAAAACAAATTTTGCCGTAGTGTGTTATCCACACAGAAAACTACAAGCATAGTAGGGTTAGCAGCATATTTGAATACTGGATTAGACTTTATAGCACTGAGAATACTGACTGTTTTGATACAGTCATCAATGGTGGACAGGATTAACCCCGCCTTGGGCCCTGGGAATCCCTTATCATGGGAGGAGTAAAAAAACCTCAAATGGAACTTGGAAGCTGATTGTCCCTGCACTTTGTTTAGCAGCCTTTCCTTTTGAGTTACAATTCGACTCTGTCTGAAAGAGAGGTGGCCCGATAGGGTATTCTAAAACGCTTCCTCCTTATTACAAGCCGCGGGGCGGGGCGGGGCGGGGGAAAACAATGTTGCATCAATTCATGCAGCAAATCCTGTCCTGTCTGATATCCCCCCCCCCGTGTTGTTTTTATTGGCTTGTTGGTTGCGTTTTATTGTTTTAGATGCAAGCTGCCCCAAGCAGGTGTCTTGAAGAGGCAGCATATACATTTTCAAAAGTGAGAATCATTATGATTAATAATAATAAAGCAGTTCATGATTATCTGGCCTTTTCCTGCATCCATTGTGACCTGGCATTAAACTCGGGGCCTCACTACATGGCATTTTTGTAAAAACAACAGCGTGGTAGTAAAACTGGATTTGTTCAGGTGGATGTTTTAATAAAGGGATATGGGCTGTATGTTATATGGCACTGTTTACTGTGTGCATTTCTTGTTTTTGTTTTCTAATTTCTATAACCCAGGTTTTGCATTTCTTTTGTCATATCTTGTACTGTTTCTATTGCATCGTTATATAACTTTGCAGTCTTATCTAACTGCAATGTTTATGATCTGTCTTATACCTGGAGTCCCCAACGTGGTGCCCACGGGCACCATGGCATCCACCAACAATTCCCCTGGTGCCCGTCAAGTGCTTCTAGTAGGGTTGCCAAGTCTTACCTCGGCTTTAGCAGGGGGAGTCCAGGACCCTGCCGGAAGCCACCCGGAAATGACGTCAATGCGTCAGGCATGTTGGGGGCGGGGCCACAATCATTTGAGGGGAAACCATAGAGTTTTCCCTCGAATAATAGAGTGTGCCCCCGCAACATGCCTGATATGATGATGTCACCTCCGGGTGGCGTCATCGTGCCAGGCACATCTGGCACTTTGGGGGCGGGGTTCCCCCCAGTGGCCCAATGTGGGCCGGTGGGGAACGGGCCTCTCGAGCGGGGGTTTCCCCGCCCCCAGAGGGACTTGGCAATCCTAGCTTCTAGAAAGTAGGTGAGGTGGGATTTTTGCCCAGGAAGATTTCTGATTGGCCATCGGAGATTTCACTGGCTCTGCATATATATATATTTTTAATTGCTTTGGCGGAAGCTCTCCCAACAACACACGGATCTTCACTGAGCGACTGAAGGTAAGCTGCAGCAGTCATTTTGTGGATGGCTCCGCCTTCTGCAGCAGCCATTTTGTGGCTGCACCCGCCACACCGTGTCAGAATTCCAAAGGTGCCTGCAGGCTCAAATAAGTTGGGGACCCCTGTTTTATACTGTTCCTATTGTGCCCTGCAAAGTTTTGTAATCTGCCTTGAGTCTCAGTGAGAAATGTGATCATTTAATAAAGTAAATTTTTAAAAAAGAAACTATGTTTTCCTTCTATCCTGGTGATCAGACATGTGTTGCCAGTTTTGTGCTGAGAACTCTTCTCCAAAGTAGGGTTGCCAACCTCCAGGTGGGCCCTGGGGACCTCCTGCTTTGACAACTGACCTCCAGCTGACAGAGATCAGCTCCCCTGGAGAAAATGGCTGCTTTGAAGGGTGGACTCTGTGGCATTGTCCCATGCCGAGGCCCCTTCCCTCCCCAAACCCCACCCTCTCCTGGCTCCATCCCCAAATTCTCCAGCAATGCTCCCTCGAAAGTGTGGAGTCTTGTGAGCAAAAATTCTACTTTGTGAGCTACTGACATTAAAGTTGTGAGCAAGCGATTTGGCTACTGCATAAATTAGTTTGCTCTGGAGCCCTCCTTCCTGAGCTAAGGCAGAAATGTGTGAGCCAGAGGCTAAAAAACTGTGAGCTAGCTCACACTAACTCAGCTTAGAGGGAAACACTGCTCTCCAGGTATTTTCCAACCCAGATCTGCCAACCCTACTCCAAAGTTTGTGTGGGCCCCCAATTCAGATCAAGACCATGGCATGTGGGGAGAGGAGCTTAATCCTGCCCACACCGCACCATTTCCCCGACCTGCAGTGGTCACAGGGAGTCACCGTTTGCCCCACTGGAGAAATGCACCCTGTACCAACGCCTGCTGGGAAGCTTCCTCAAATCGCATTAGTTTCCCCAGGAAGAGTACTTCCAAAGAGCACCCAAATTGATTTTCCTCTCTACGGTGCCGCCGGACTCCTGTTTTAGTTTGCTGCCCCGGATTAACATGGCTACCCCATCTGAGAACGAGAAGACAAGGAAGACGCATGGGAGAAGCACAGCGGTACCTTGCCCTGCGTGAGGCGATTCTTCCGATTGAGGGCGTAGACAGCCGAGTCCACAGCGACGAGCGAGACGGAAGATCTCTCATCGGTGGTGATGGTGAGTCTCAGGACATCCTGGGGTCGCAGGTGGCTGACTGTTTCTTTTGTGCTGAGGTGCAGCTGCAGGTCAGAGGGACACAGTTAGGGGTGGGCCTGAGACTAGGGCTTGCCAACCTCCAGGGGGTACCAGGAGTCATCCCACTATAATAATTGATCTCCAGACGGTCAAGGTCAGTTCCCCTGGAGAAAATGGCTGCTTTGGAGGGTGGACTCTATGGCACTGTACCCCACTGAGGTCCCTGCCCTCCCCCGGCTCCACCTTCCTCAGGCTCCACCCCCAAAATCTCAGGGTAGAGAGCCAGTTTGGTGTAGTAGTTAGGAGCACTGACTCTAATCTGGGAGAACCAGCTTGGATTCCCCGCTCCTCCACATGCAGCCAGCTGGTGTGACCTTGGGTCAGTCACAAGTTCTCTCAGAGCTGTTCTTTCAAGGGCAGTCCTCAAAAGAGCTCTCTCAGCCCCGTGTCTGTTGTGGGGAGGGGAAGGGAAAGGAGATTGTAAGCCCCTCTGAGACTCCTTTGGGTAGTAAAGGGCAGGGTATAAATCCAATCTCTTCTTTTTCTATTTCCCGACCCAGAGCTGGCAACCCTCCCCAAGACCTTGTGACATCCTTGAAAATGGCTTTTAAAATCCCGGCCACTCCTTGCTATTCATACGCCACACCTTACTGTCTTTTCCGCTTCCCAATTTGTGCTCTCTCCCGGGTCTCAGCTGGCCTTCTCCCTGCATTCTGTGTTGCTACGGACCTTCCCCCCCTTCTCTCCTTCTTGGCATGCTAGTTTTGTATAGTTGCAGACGGCTTCCACGCTAGTTGTTTATGGCGTAATCCTATGCAGGGGTACTCCAGTCTAAGCCCACTGCAATCAAATGAGCTGAGGGCTGAATCACTCTTTGGTCTGTTGTAGGGTTGCCAAGATTTAGGGGGTGGGGACCAGTGCGCTGGCATGTGACATCGCTTCAGGCAAAAAACTGGAAATGACATCATGATGTTAGGGACAGCACTCTAGGATTCACCCGAACTCTACGGTTAAGCCATAAATTTCAGGGCCAATCCTAGAGCACTGCCCCAACGGCATGAAGCACTTCTGGATTCACAAAATTTCTAGCAGCTGTTGTCAAATCACATGAAGAGAAGAAGAAGAGGAGGAGGAGGAGGAGGAGGAGGAGGAGGAGATTGGATTTATACCCCGCCCTTCACTATCCAAAGGAGTCTCCCAGAGCGGCTTACCAACCCCTTTCCCTTCCCCTCCCCACAACAGACACTCTGTGAGGTAGGTGGGGCTGGGAGAGCTCTCTCGAGAACTGCTCTTGAGAGAACAGTTCTGGAAGAACTATGGCTTGCCCAAGGTCTTCCAGCCAGGTGCAAGTAGAGGAGCGGGGAATCAAACCCAGTGCTCCCAGATTAGAGTCCGCGCACTTAACCACTACACCAATTTTTTCAGTAGCAACTTTTACATTCTTCCATGTTATCCTGTGGGACGAGAGTTTGCTGTGTGTTAAGTCGCTCGCTTAACAAAGCAGTCGGAGAGTGATTCAGCAAGAACACAGCTTTATTCGTCAACTCAAACACAACTCGAATACAGATCAACATCAACTAGCCAGAACAGAACGGTTCAGCTTGTCCATAGCAGTAGTCCTGCTTTTAAACATTCCCGGCTAATATAGCCACGCCTACTGTACAATTATCAACCTATGAGGTTGCTCGCATAAGGACCAATCACGAACGTTCCCGCTCAGGGAGCTTGCTGTAAAGTGACTGGCTGTTAGTTCCTGGGCTAGTAACCTGATTGGATGTATTTGGATCCTAGCCCAGGACGAAGCTCAACATGACATTTCAATTAGAAGTTTCACACATTGCATTCAAGGCAGCTTTGAATACATTGCACTATGTATGACCCCGGCTGTAAAAATAGTAAAGACGATAAGATAAAAATAAGATCACATCATGCACAAGCACACACACACACACATTTTCCCTTGCTGACCCTTGGAACCCATGAAGGGGGTGGAGGAAGAGGAGGAGGAGGAGGAGGGATTGCTGGGAGGTCTCCAAGGATAGTGGGAGAGCTGGCCCCCCTAGTTGGTCTGTCTGAACTAAATTCCATTTATTCACTCTGTTTTTATCGAAAAGCCAGAGAGTGTCACTCTCCACACAATGCTTACTAACATTTCAGTCCCGAGCCCACCACTGGTGGTCAGAAGCAACAAACATGGTCGCTGTAGGTTTGCCAGCATGCGGCTGGTTGTCAACATGAGGCTGGCAACACATAATTACGTTGCTGGCATCACCGTTGATGCTCTAGCATTCAGCCAGGACTCTATGGTTTAACCGTAGTATTTTGACTGGATGCTAGAGTGTCACCAACAATGCAATGATGTTATTTCTGGTCACATGGGAAGTGACATCTCATCGAGTGCCAGCTGTTGTACTCCCCATTCCCCACCACCACCATTTTTCTCCCACTGCCCAGCTGAGTGGCGGTGGGCGGGCCCATTCGGTCACAGGAGAACGCTCACCCGACCTTAACCCTAAGGTTACCAAGTTCAGCTTGGGAAATTCCTGGACATTTGGGAGCGACACCTGGGGAAGGCAGAGTCTGAGGAGGGGAGGGAGTTCGATGGGGATGTGATTCCAGAGTCCACCCTCTGAAACTACCGTTCCCTCCAAGGGAACTGAGCTCTGTAGTCTGGAGACCAGCTGTAATTCCGGAAGAACTCCCGGCCCTGATATGAGGCTAATAACCCTAATCCACCTTCATCCAGCCATGACAAGGAAGAGCAGCTCATTTCAAATACTATTTACCTTCCCTTCGCAGGTGTCAACTACATCCACCCAGATGGAGTTTGCCACAACTTCGTCCCCCACACGGTAAAAGGCCACAAACCGAAATGTTGGCATCAGGTTGGGCGTGATGCGGACGGGGACCACGGTAAAAGAGCCACGGGCCACGCTGCTAGCAGAGACAATGTCACCTTTGTTCAAAACCTGGAAGCAAAAGGACAATTCACGACAGCAGGTGAAGAAAGTGGTGTAGTCTGTGTGGGTGGGTATTATTCAGATTTTTAGTGTATTATGCATATTGTATTTTATATTATTTTATATTGTTCATTGTTTTAACCAGGCATTTATGCCCCTTGTGAGTCGCCCTGAGCCTTCGGGGAGGGCAGGATATAAATGGAAAGATAAATAAATAAATAAATAAAATATATATTTGACTCCTCTTGAACACACACCTTAACCTGGTGAGGAGGTTTGTGTGTGTCATCAAGGCTGAAAGAAGAAGAGACGAAATTGGGTTTATACCCCGCCCTTCACTCAGAGTGGTTTACAATCTCCTTCCCTTCTTCTCCCCACAACAGACACCCTGTGAGGTGGGTGGGGCTGAGAGAGCTCTCAGAGAACTGCTCGAAAGAACAGCTCTACAAGAACTGTGGCTGACCCAAGGTCACCCAGCAGCTGCATGTAGAGGAGTGGACAATCAAACCCAGTTCTCCCAGATTAGAGTCCGCACGCTTAACCACTACACCAAACTGGCTCTAATACATAAGGGGTCATGGTGACTGAGGGGAACCTCCATATTCAGAGGCACTAAGCTTCTGACTCCCAGGGCCAGGAGGCAACATCAGGGGAAGGCCTCAGCCTCTGTGCCTTTTGTTGGCCCTCCAGAGGAACTGGTTGGCCACTGTGTGTGACAAGATGCTGGACTAGATGGACCACTGGTCTGACCCAGCAGGGCTCTTCTTAAGGAGTCTAAACTCCTAGGAGAGTCACTCAAGGTAGAATGGTCACAGCTGAGACACCAGGCTAAGTTACATCCACCCCCTTCAGGGATCAATGGCCACATCAGCAGAAGAGAACGGACAGTTCCAATGGTGATGGGAGGGGAGGAATCCCTGAAAGGTAGTAACTACTGGGCAGCAGCAGTCCTGGAAGGCGGCACTAGCGGAGGATCTTTCGTAGAAATTTACAGCGCCAATTCAACTAACCCTGACTGGTACTGCACAGAAGGCGGCAATGGTAAACCACTTCTGTCCAACCTTGACCTTGAAAACCCTGTGGGGTTGCCACAAGTCGAAAATGACTTGACGGCACGTAACACACAACACATTTTCTATATTTCAGTGCTTCCCACATAATAAATCCCCATTCCAGGATGAAGACGAGGCTAAAAATATTCCCTCTGAAGTGCAAATTATTCATATGGGTGGATTTTTTTCCCCACGTGAGGAAGGAGTCAATTTTCGAATGTGTTTCCACCTGCAGTTTAAAGTGGTATGTGTATGACTCTACCACGTGGTCTTTTCATACATTTAATCCAGTCCAAGGGTTGAGAACAACGGTTAGGAGAGCTAGGACTGGGCACTTTCAGAAAGGCTGGCTTATTGGTTTATTCTATATCTTTTCCTTATTTTATATTTTTATGTTATTTTATGTATGTTTATATAAAGCCAACACGGTGTAGTGGTTAGCCTGTCCAAAGAGGATCTGGGAGTGCCAGGTTCGAATCCCACCTCTGCCACGGAACCT